ACTCTTCATGTTTTCTAAAGAGAATGTGTGATGATTTCCATTCCCACAAGCAGTGTATCAGAGTTTCCCGTTGTTCCCTGTTCCCACAAACACTTGATATTGTCAGACATTAATTTTTAACCAGCCTGATGAAATCTGATGGCTGTTAGTTTGCATTTCCATCTGCTGGTTCAAATGGCTTTTTTTTTTCCTTAAGATTTTATTTACTTGAAAGGCAAGGTTACAGAGAAAGAGATCTTCCAGATTTGCATGTCTTAGTGATCACTGTTGACATTGAATATCTTTTCATATATTTTTTTGCCTTCTGGGTTTCTCTTTGCGTGGTATCAGTTCAAAGCTTCTGGGTTGTTTTCCTTGTCACTGACTAATGGAGCTTCTTCACATGTTCTAGATAATTTTCTGTTTATCCTTTTTTTACTTTTTGTTAGGGTTTTGAGAGTCTTATTTAAGAAATCCTCAAATTTATTAAAGCAGTCTCTCCTATATTACTTTCTTTCTTTTTTTTTTTTTTTTTTTTTTTGACAGAGTGGACAGTGAGAGAGAGAGACAGAGAGAAAGGTCTTCCTTTGCCGTTGGTTCACCCTCCAATGGCTGCCGCGGCCAGTGCACTGCGGCCGGCGCACTGCGCTGATCCGATGGCAGGAGCCAGGAGCCAGGTGCTTTTCCTGGTCTCCCATGGGGTGCAGGGCCCAAGCACCTGGGCCATCCTCCACTGCACTCCCTGGCCACAGCAGAGAGCTGGCCTGGAAGAGGGGCAACCGGGACAGAATCCGGCGCCCCAACCGGGACTAGAACCCGGTGTGCCGGCGCCGCTAGGTGGAGGATTAGCCTAGTGAGCCGTGGCGCCGGCCTCCTATATTACTTTCTAAAGTTTTATAATTTTGTCACATTTTAGGTGTCACCTAGTTTGAATTGATTTTTGTGTATGGTTGGGGAAGGAAGTCTGTTTCTGGATTCTTTTATTGTTCCATAGGTCAGTTTAGGAGAGACCTGACATCCCTACAGCACAGAGGCCTCCATATTCTACCTTAGGAATGTGCTTGTTTTCCTTGACTAGAGAAGAGATGAGAAAACAGCAGTTGGTCCTGATCTGATCTAAGCGCTTTCCGTGTGGGCTGAGAGCAGGCCTACTCTGCTCTTGCATGTCTTCAGCAGATCAGCTCCTTAGTAGTTCTGTTAGAGTTATCAAGAGTTACGGTGTGTTTCTCTTTGCTTTTTAATTGTGGTTTTAAAGAAAAACACATGAAACAAAATTTACCTTCTTTACCACTTCTAAGTGTAGTTCTAAGTGTGTTCACATTGAAGTGCAGTCACAGCAGATGTCTATCTGTGAGCAGCTTACTTCAGTTAGCGTAGTGTCCTCAAGGTTTATCCATTACAGCACGTAACGAGATTTTCTTCCTGTTTGGGACTGAATAATACTCCACTGTGTGGATGTGGCATGTGTTCATTATTCATGTGTCCATCAGTGAATGGCTATTGTAAGTGAATAATGCTGCCATGAACTTGGATATGCATATATTTCATCTGTGTTTGAGGCTTCCATTACCTCTTAACACACTGAGGTTTCAGACATGCAGGTGAAAGTGCTCTGGAAAGTAGAGGGCCAACAGTGGACTTAGGGGTTGAAGCTTCTTCATGTGAAAGAACCCATTGCTTTTGCTGCTCCCATATGTTAAGGACTTTTCAAAGCTTTAGGCTAAAGTGATCACCACTGAAATTAATGGCATAATTGTAAATCTGTTTTGGACTGATATTTTAAATAATTTTATGACTAGTACTTCCAAACCATCTATAATAAAATCTAACTTCCATTCTATCTCCTGCTACCCAGCTACCCTCAACATGGTCAGTGTCTTGTGTTTCTTTCTGAGGATATTTTATGCACAGATACATGGATATTTTCCCCTACCTTAACACAGTGGCAGCAGAATATGCTTCTTTTTTGTCCCATTTTCCTTCTTACATAATACTTCTTAGAGATGAACTTTGTCACTTTTTATGCTGTGGGATGTTTTATTATACAGCTGAAGATTTATTTAGCCCCCAATTGATGAGCAGTTTGGATAATAAATGACTTTTCATAAATATAATATCACACTGAGCAGGGATATCTATAAAAGAAATTACAAGAGGTCAAATGCTGGACCAAAGGCTGTTTATTAAAATTTGGAAGATATTTTTAAATATATTTTTTAAAGCTTTGAACTACTTTTTAAAAAATATTCTGAGTTTTGGTGCTGCTATAGATCTAGCCAAGAATCCCACTGTTGGGACAGGCATTTGGCCTAGTGGTTCAGCCACTTCCAGCATCAGAGTACATGGGTTCAATTCTCAGTTCTACTCTTGAGTCCAGCTTCCTGCTAATGCAGACCCTGGGAGGCAGCATATGATGGCTCAGGTGTCTGGGTCCTGCCACCCATATGAGAGACCTGGGTTGAGCCTCAGGCACCCAGCTCTGGCCCAGCTCAAGCATTTGCAGGCATTTAGGGACTGAACCAGGGGATAAGAACGCTGCCTCTCTCTCCTCTTTACTCAAACAACAATAATTTTAAATCTCTTTCTTTAATTAAAAAAGCAAATACCACTGTTGATAGTAAACTTTTCTCTAACAGAAAGTACCTTATCAAGAAGATGAGGAAGGATTCTCACCCTGTTTGGTGGGGTGGATATTCCTTGGGGGTCGGTCACTTCAAGTATAGAAGAGCATTCATTGTTGTCTTGTTTATGTCTAGAAAGAGGCACTTGGGAAAGGAGGTGTCCGGGTGGACATTTAGCCTAGCCATTAATGTGCTGGTTAAGATGCCCCTGTTCCACGTGTGAGTTCCTGAGTTTGATTTCCAGCTCTGTCTCCTGACTCCAGCTTCTTGCTAACACAGTGCCTGGTAGTGCGGTGGTAATGGTTTAAATAATTGGGTTCCTGCCAACCATGTTGGATGCTTGGATTGTGTTTCTGGCTCTGCACTGTGGCCCAGCCCAAGGTGTTGTGAGCATTTGGAAAGTGAACCAGCGATGGAGGAGCATTCTATTCCTCTGATTCTCTGTCACTTACATAAGTAAACAAAAATTAAATACACAATACACAAGCCAAGCACCTGCTAGGACCCCTGATCTGCAAACCTGTTGTTTAGACTAAGTGATTCTGGATGAAGAGCAGGGGTCCTTTCTGCCTTTAGTCCCAAGGGCCTGCATCAAGAAACACTGTACTAAACGTCTGTCTCTAACACAGAGACATGGATTTGTTTTTGCTGCTGCTTTTAGTGTTTTTACTGAGTAGGTAAAGACATCAAGAGTAAGGATAAAGCCAAATTACTAGACCTCTGTTTCAGCTCCAGAAGCTTCCCTCATGTAACAACCCACATGTTAGGTACAAAACACTCTCCTAGATGCAGTAAAGAATTTGAAATTACAACAGGGATCTCCTCTCCTTGGAGAGATTTGTCTCATTATATAAACAAGAACAAGATGTCATCCAGATAACTGTAATTCAGTATTTAAAAGGAGAATGAGAAGTTAAAAAAAAAAAAACTGTCATAAAACTTGAGGCGAAAACAAGTTAAGGGACTCAGTCTTCATACCTGGCTTCATATACAGATCATGCCACTTGAACACCTATTTAGCAGAAATTCCATGTTCTCCTTCAGTGAATCATTTCAGTGTTAACACCCTTTTTTAATTAAATAAAGATTTATTTTTTTAAAGATTTTATTATTTATTTATTTGAAAGTCAAAGTTACATAGAGAGAGGAGAGGCAGAGAGAAAGAGAGGTCTTCCATCCGATGGTTCACTCCCCAGATGGCCACAATGGCCGGAGATGTGTTGATCCAAAGCCAGGAACCAGGAGCTTCTTCCATGTGGGTGCAGGGTCCCAAACACTTGGGCCATCTTCTACTGCTTTCCCAGGCCATAGCAGAGAGCTGGATCGGAAGAGGAGCAGCCAGGACTAGAACTGGCGCCCATATGGGATGCTGGCGCTTCAGGCCAGGGCATTAACTCACTGCACCACAGTGCCGGCCCCGATTTATTTTTTGAAAGGCAGAGTGACAGCAATCATCCATCCATTGGTTCATTCCCCAAATGGCCACAATAGCTGGGACTGGTCTGGGCCAAAGGTAGAAGCCAGGAACTCCTCCAGGTTTCCACATGAGTGACAGGGGCTGATACACTTGGGCCATTTTCTGCTGCCTTCCCAGGCATATTAACAGGGGGTTGGATGGGAAGTGGAGCAGCCAGGACTCAAACCAACACTCAAGTATGGAATGCCAGCATCACCAACCCCTCCCAGTGTCAGGTAACACTTTTACTGTCAGATAATATATGGGATTTTTTGAATACTTAAATGTCTTCTGCAGTTTATCACTTCAACTGATTTTCAGGGCAGTGTTATTTTCAAATACAATTCAAATGGAAGTTAATTAGATATATAACTGCTACTGGTGTCAATTTTGCATTAAATATTTAGTAACAGATGCTTTGAAATATTTTTGCATGACTTTTAACCATATAAAATGAATGCTGTGAGGTGCTTTGCTATTCTCTTTGGTGTTATGTGCCAGAGTTTGTGATTTAAAATCTTAACAACTTTCTACTAAACGGTGGTTTTTTTTTTTTATGAGTTTAATACTTCATAAAGTGTTTTTTCATGAGTTTAATACTTCATTTCTTAAGTGAAAAAGTCCAGCTTATTAATTACTGTAGAGACTTTTAAGTTGAACCAAGGAAAAAAGTAACTTAGTAAGACATCCTTCATGTTAAACCACCTTGCATGATTTGACCATTCATGGAGAAGATTAGCTAATCAGTAACTGGGTTTAGTGCAGGCAAGGCCTGAGGTTCCACCTGGACTGTTAGTGTAGTGAGTCAGAGGTCGGCTGGCTGCATTAGGGACAGGCAGGGAACGATGGGAGCATCTCATCCTACTGTTGGCGTGCTGGGCTTGAAGAGGAGGTAGCTGTCCCTTCACTTTTCTAATACTGTCTATTGCTCTTACAATTCATAGGGATATCTGTGTTTGCCATATATGGCATTGCAGCAGCATCATCTTCTGTCTGATGTCACCGTTCGGGGATTTGTTGCTGGAGCTACTAACATCCTTTTTCGACAACAGAAACACCTCAGTGATGCCATTGTGGAAGTACGTTCATGTATGAGTGTGCACTTGACCCTGGTGCTCCCTTTGTTCCTTTCTTAAATCTGAAAGTGAAAGTATAGTGACAGCACTAATCATGATAATGCTTGCTATGTGCAAGGCATATGAGCACTTTATGCAAATTAACTGATTTAATTCTCATAACAACCCCGGGAAATAGGTACTGTTACTGTCTGCATTTTACACCTGTAGAAGCTAACTGAGACTGAATGACTTGCCTGATATTACACAGCAAATAAGCAAGTGATCCAGGACTCCAGCCCGAGCATTCTGGCCTACCATGATTTCATGACTCATTAAAATGTGTTTATTGTTTAAATAATTTAAATCCTTCTAACCTGTTCGGTATGCTGCTGTTATCAAGATGGAGGAATCTAGGAGTTTAACATTTTTATCATTCTATAAGAAATTAAAATCATTGAATTTTACAAGTGAACTCATTTTTCAAAGAGAAAAAGAAACTTCGCTGCACTAAAGTTTTTGTAGTTTCTGACACAAAGCACCAAAACATGCTTCATTGGAAAATGGTGATGAAAAAAGAGCGATCTAAGATTCAGAGCTAGATTTATGATGATCCCAGTTTTGAGGAAGAAAAAAATAATATAACATCCAGGACAGGAAGATACAAATGAGAAGACCACAAAATTTTTCAGGATCATGGCTTATACTCTTTCTGAAATTGATTGGTAGGCTCATGGATATTTATTTTATTAATGTACTTCAGAACTAACCTGTGACATACATTTCTTTGTATACAAAATAGTACATAATAAAAGTATTCTGAAATATCTGTGCACTTAAAAGCAAAAATTTTAGAAATTTTAGTTGTTAAGTTTATTCATTTCTGGTTGGAAGATAAAGATGATTTTTTTTTACCATCCTGTATTTCTGTATTTTCCAAAATATTTATAATCTGCATGAATTACTTCTACCGATCAAAGTAATACATTCATGTATGTATTTTCTAGAAACAAAAATATTTTTAAGTAAAAAAAAAGTATCAAAAGCTGTTTCTTCCTTAGACTCAACTTTTGAGAATGCTGTTCCTCATTTTTTATTTCCAGCTCTGCCTTCCCAATAATTCCTCTTCCAAGTGTGGCATGGGTGTCTGTATTTGCATAATTGCCCAGACTCTGACTTACACCTGGGTGCCCTCTAGGTGGAAGAAGCTGTGATCCAGATCCATGATCCAGAACTCAGGAAGCTGCTTAACCCAACCACTGCAGACCTAAGGTTCGCAGATTACCTGGTGAGGCACGTGACTGAGAACCGGGATGACGTCTTCCTGGATGGCACGGGCTGGGAGGGAGGTGACGAGTGGATCCGGGCCCAGTTTGCAGTCTACATCCACGCCCTGCTGGCTGCCACGCTACAGTTAGGTAAGAAATCATGCCAAGCACATGGGTACCTTTTGTGTTGTAATTTTTAATTTTGTGACATTTATGGTAATTTGAATTGCACAAGAAATATATATTCATTATAGAAAATTACCTGTTACTCCCTTGTATAGAAATAACCAATCTTAAACATTTTGAGTATTTTATATCTTTCCAGACTTTTTTCTATGCATATATTCTAGACTTGGGTTTTATGGTATTTTGGGTGGTCCTTCTACAAAAATGGATCCCTTCATACCTGTTTCCTGAAATCTACCTTTTCTTTATAAGAAAAACATAAACATATATGAAGTCATTAAATGCAGTTCTTTATGACTTTATATAGCTGATAAGTATTTCATTGTCTACAAGGGAATATCAGCATTTGGTGGCTAATTATGAGTACTTGTTAGAAATTTTTAAGATACATAGAGAAGAAATAGTAAAAATAGAAACCATTGAAACTCACAATCTAATTGCTTAAACCTTCATACTTAACATCCCATTGTGAGAAACAGTATCATTCCTATTAAATGGGTAAAATGGGGCAGGTGAACATGAATCCAGTACTGTATTAGAGCTGTATCGTTCTCCATAGAAAAAAACGAGAGTGGAGCTCTGCGGTGAGATTGTCCACCTCAGACGTGTGACAAAAATTAGTAGCTCTGTTGTCATTAGAAGAGTGTTGAGCTGTGTTCTTCCTCTTCAATTATCTCTCCTACTGTTTTTTTCATTGTAGTGAAATACACATAAAATTTACCATCTCAGCCATTTTTATATAAGCAATTCCATAGTGGCACTAAGAACGTTCATGTTGTTGTGTCAGTAGATTTGTTTAAATCAATACCACCTCCACCTTCCAGGTTAGTCAGTCACCAGGCTTCAGACATGTTTTTCATTTGTAAAGGAAGGCTAAGAAAGAAGTCTTCTTCTGTTAATGGAGTATTTGAAAATTTTTATTGCCGCTACAAATGTCACACCTGAGACTTACAGAGTTACCGTGAAAGAAAACCCTATTTTCCATCATTCATGTGGCTTCAAGAGTCCAGGAGGCTGTAAGCCATGAATAATAGGTGCTATTTTTTTTTAACAATTAACCTGTGAAAGGAATGTCTGAGCACTTTACATCTAATAATGTATTTCATCCTCACAGCAATCCTGGAGGTAGATACCTTATCATCTCCATTTTACAGAAGAGAAATGAGAAGCAGAAATGTTAAATAGTTGGCTCAACCATCTGCGAAGAGGCTGAGCTGGGATTTTAACCCAGTCTGGCTCAGACCCATGCTCGTAAATGAACAAGGTCAAGGAAAGAAATAGGTTCTTAGAAAAACTTCCTCATGCTGCATATGGAACTTCTCTTCCTTTCCCGATAGCAGAAAGTACTTGGATTTCACCTTCAACGCAAACAGCACGCAGTTAATATGTGAAGCAGTAGCTACTTGAATCAATTCTCCAGACTTTCTGTATTCTTCCCAGTGGAAGAAGTGCTCCACATTGAAGCATTCCCTTGGTATTGATAAAGCCAAACACTTTTTACATTAAATATGAAAATCTCTATTGTTATCTCAAATAATTTTGACAGTGAAATGCTTGGAAACCCAAGAAGGAAACACTAAATAGACAAAGCCCAAAAAAGAGAATAGTGGCGGAAAGAGCCGATTGATTGTAATTATTCTCAATCGTTTTTCATAGAAAAATGACATTTGTGAAAAGATAGGAAGATCTAATCTAATCTAATTGCCTACTCCATATGTATAAATCAGTTTGTTTATTCACCTTCAAGTCTGTAGTTTTTGTTTAATAAATAATGCTATCCTCATAATGTAAGGAGAACATGGAAATATTTTGGAGTTATAAGGAACCTTGGAAAATATCTGGCTCAACCCTCTTATTTTCCAGTTAGGAAAATGAAGTTCTGAGTGATTAAGTGACTTGCCAAAGGCCACATAGCTTCTTAACAGGATTTCTGGAACTAGACCCAAGTTTCCTGACATCTGGTAGGCTATCTTCCAAAAAGAGCGGGAGGGTGGGGGGATAAAGCCATTCCTTTACCCCTTTTGGTTGTTAGTCTTCATGTCCCTGAATGGCTATGGTCCAGCTCAACTTTTTTCAAATGTTTCCTTGGCAGATAATGAAAAGATATTATCGGACTATGGGACAACTTTTGTTACAGCGTGGAAGAATACTCACAACTACAGGGTATGGAATAGCAACAAGCATCCAGCACTTGCAGAAATAAATCCAAAGTAAGCACATTCTCTGAAGATTGACGTATGATACAGAAAATGGTAGTTGTTCTCCACATGCCCAATACAAAGAAAATCATCTTAATTTTGATATTGTAGCTTCAAGAGTCTCCATAAGTAGGTTACAAAAAGGCTCCCAAATACAGAGAAGCAGCTTACAGACTGTTTTCACATTCAAAGTTCTTATCCAGAAAGCACATGGTAATACTGGCAGCAGTGAGGTTTCTCTAGCCCTTGATGTGGTGCAGAGAGGAAGCACAGGGCTCATGGTGATGCTCCTGCATGGTAGTTCTTCTCTACCTTTCCCTGGAGCTGTAACGCATCCTTTAACGGATTCCAAATAGCGTAGAAGTCTAGAAGGAAATACCCCTGGTATCAAATTGCAAGGGTGTTGTAAAACAGGAAGTGTGGCAAACCATTAAAATTGATATATGAACTCCTCGATGTGTGTTCAAGTTTTCACATTAGATTCTAAAATTCACAAAAAGTTCCTGTCACAGCATTGACACATTGAATATTGACTAACTGAAGGCTTTATACCTACATAGGCACAGAAGACATGCTGTAGATTGGGGCCATTATGAAATAGCATCTATGTGTGAATGCCACAGAATAGAATTGAAGGAGATCAATTGAAATAGTGTGTACACTCTGGGAAATCACTTTCTAGATTACAATGATTTTTTAAAATTATTTACTTGAGAGAGCTTCCATGGGTCAGTTCGCTCCCCAAATGTCTGCAACAGCCTTGACTAGGCCATGCTAAAGCCAAGAACCAGGAACTCAACCCAAGACTCTCACATGGCTGGCAATGACTCAGCTACGTGAGCCATCATCCGCTGCCTTCCAGGGTGTGAATTAGCAGGGAGTTGGCATCAGAAGCAGAGTTGGGACTTAAACCCAGGCACTCCAACATGGGATGCATGCATCTCAGCCAGCATTTAAAAAAAAATTATTTATTAGAAAGAGTTATCCAGAAAGAGAGAAGTCTTCCATCTGCTGGTTCACTCCCCAGATGGCCACAATGGCCAAAACTTGAATAGGCTGAAACCAGGAGCCTGGAACTCCATTTAGGTCTCCACGTAGCAGGGCCCAGGTACTTTGGCCGTTGTCCACTGCTTTCCCAGGCCCATTAGCAGGGAGCTGGATTGGAAGCAGAACATTCAGGACTCAAACCTGCTCTCCAGTAAGAGATGCTGGTGTCACAAGCAACAGCTCAACTGCTGTACCACAATGCTGACCCCTCAGCCAGCATCTTAATCATAAGCCTAAATATCTACTCCCAGTTGTTTTCTTTTTTTTTAAGATTTATTTATTTATCTATGTATTTATTTGAATTTATTTATCTATGTATTTATTTGAATGGCAGGGCGACAGAGGAGGAGATACAGAGAAATCTTCATTCTCTGGTTCATTCCCCAAATGACCACAACAGCGAAGGCTGGGCCGGGCCAATGCCAGGAGCCAGAAACTCCGTCCAGATCTCCCACTTGGGTGGCAGGAACCCAGGCACTTTGGCCATCCTCCACTGCCCTTCCAGGCACATTAGCAAGGAGCTGGATTGGAAGCAGGGTGCCAGGACTTCCACTAGCCTCCAGTGTAGGATGCCAGCGTCAAAAGCAGCAGCTTAACCCACTGACTCCCACAGCACTGCCCTGCCCTGCCCTGCCTGTTTGTTTTTTTTTTAATGATAGAAACATACATTGTCTGTTTTCATTGTATTTTTTTCTTTTCCTAAAATTTTTAATTTTAATTTGTAATTAGTTTTTTGTTGTTTTGGTTTTTTAGATTTTTATTTATTTATTTGAGAGGTAGAGTTACAGACAGTGAGAGGGACAGACAGAGAGAAAGGTGTTCCATCTGCTGGTTCACTCCCCAGTTGGCCACAACAGCCGGAGCTGTGCCAATCCGAAGCCAGCAGTCAGGAGCTTCTTCCGGGTCTCCCACACAGGTGCAGGGGCCCAAGGACTTGGGTCATCTTCTACTGCTTTCCCAGACCATAGCAGAGAGCTGGATGGGAAGAGGAGCAGCCAGGACTAGAACTGGCACCCATATGGGATGCTGGCGCTGCAGGCAGAGGATTAACCTATGCCACAGCATCGGCCCCTGTAATTAGTTTTTGTTTTGTTTTGTTTTGTTTTTTTTTTTTTTTTTTTTTTTTTTTTTTTTTTTTTTTTGGACAGGCAGAGTGGACAGTGAGAGAGACAGAGAGAAAGGTCTTCCTTTGCCGTTGGTTCACCCTCCAATGGCCGCCGCGGCCGGCGCACCGCGCTGATCCGATGGCAGGAGCCAGGAGCCAGGTGCTTTTCCTGGTCTCCCATGGGGTGCAGGGCCCAAGCACCTGGGCCATCCTCCACTGCACTCCCTGGCCACAGCAGAGAGCTGGCCTGGAAGAGGGGCAACCGGGACAGAATCCGGCGCCCCGACCGGGACTAGAACCCGGTGTGCCAGCGCCGCTAGGCGGAGGATTAGCCTAGTGAGCCGCGGCGCCGGCCCCCTGTAATTAGTTTTTAACAGATTCAATGTAGATAGAATTCTAAGAACATAATGATATTCCCATCCTCCATCCCTCCTTTCCACCTCATTGTATTTTAAACTTTTACTTTTTGGTGAAAAAAGAGTCAAAAGTTAATTTTGTACTTATTATACTATTATTTGGGGGTTGGTGTTTACTTGGATAAATTGGAGATAGAACTTAAGTGATGTTCGAAAAGATATCCCTCACCACCACATACCCATAACCCAGATATTTAAGCCATGGCAGTTTGGGAAGTGTTGTGGGTGAGTTGGCACAGAGTGTTTTTGGAGAATGTATCTGTTAAGCTTTATGTCATCTATCAAGGAAAATAACGAGGCCCAGCACCAGTGCTGATGAATTTCATCATCATGCTTGGCTACAGCAGAAAGCTAGATTGTCATTGAGAATGAAAAGGCAAAGCCACTTTAGTAATATTAAATAAACGGGCTAAGATTTCCAAGTTTTCTCCACACTGACTTACAAGGACTGTGTTCTGAAGCATACTGAAGGGAAACAGATGTGAGCCTGTTTGCGGTGGCCACGCCCTGAAGGCAGCTCTGCTGTAGCTGTCAGCTGTCATCCCAGTCCTGCATCTGGGGCCTTTGACTTGAACCAGCTCTGCAGATTTTAATGCAGGTTCTTAAGAGGCTTAGTTGAAATGAGATTTTAAAGGATTGTAAAATAGTGGTTAGAAAAATGTGTAAGGAAATTGAGGTCACTGAGGTTGAAAAGAAGGCTGAAGAAGGCCCTGTAAGTAGGGAAATTATGCAACCATGATAGCAGATTTGCAACACTTTCATCAAATTAAAAATAAAAGGCAATAGTCTTCAGTCATTATCATAGAGTGTAATTTAGAAATATTCTGTACAGTGGCCGGCACCGCGGCTCACTAGGCTGATCCTCCGCCTTGTGGCGCCGGCACACCAGGTACCGGGTTCTAGTCCCAGTCGGGGAGCCAGTCTCTCTCCCGGTTGCCCCTCTTCCAGGCCAGCTCTCTGCTATGGCCCGGGAGTGCAGTGGAGGATGGCCCAAGTCCTTGGGCCCTGCACCCCATGGGAGACCAGGAGAAGCACCTGGCTCCTGCCTTGGATCAGCGCAGTGCACCGGCCTTTGGAGGGTGAACCAATGGCAAAGGAAGACCTTTTTCTCTGTCTCTCTCTCACTATCCACTCTGCCTGGCGAAAGAAAGAAAGAAAGAGAGAGGGAGGGAGGGAGGGAGAGAAGGAAGGGAAGGAAGGAAGGAAGGGAAGGAAGGAAGGGAAGGAAGAAGGAAAGGAAGGGAAAGAAAGAAAGAAAAAGATTCTGCACTAATAGTAATTTCAGTTCCTAAAGGACAGCTCTCTTAAGTTAACATGCTGCTGACAAGTTTCATTCTTTAGATACAACCTTTCCAGGAACATAGAGAATGATTAAATGATTCTTTAATTTATTCAATACTGTGATTGAAGAATCCAGAAAATGGAAGAAATGTTACATTACTTACTTTAGCCCTTAGAAGTTTGTTGTCATTTAAAAAACCATAAACAGCATTTGATAAGTAGCTGTCAGTTTCACCAAGAGGCTTTCTCTCCTAGACCTTGAGAGAGAGACCCAGGAGGATGAGATAAGAGTTTGGTATTTATTGACCCTGTCTTTTACAGTGTAACTGTGATCAAGTTGCTTGTTGTGTTGTTTTAATATACTTTTCTCCTTTTGTACAATGGAAATAGGGAAGTAAGAATAATATACAAAGTACAGATTTTGCTGAATCATCTACAGATCTTCACATGATCAAGAATAGCACACATTTATAAGGTGTCCAGGATCAAAGTATATCTGTGACCATGGCCTAAATCAGTGACTCACCCAGGATAGCCTTAAAAATGTTGATGCTTGGCTCACATGCCAGACCAACTAAATCAGAATATGAGGGTAGCATTAACACAGCATGCTCTACCCCTCCCCAACCCAGGCATTCGCACTCACACACACATTTGTTTTATAATTGAGGAAACTGAAACTCAGAGGGGTAAGTAATCTCTTTGGGATCTCACAGCTGTAAGTGGAGACCTCTGTTAATCAAAGCCTCATTTCCTCGTATCAGGTTCAGATCACTACCTCCCAGCCATGTTACTTCTTAGAGGTTTACTAATATTCTGATATTAGTAAATATATATCTTCTGATAATAACTTTCTTTTTTGCGATTATTGGTGAAATACTCATAGGCCAAATTCAAACTTTGTTTTGCAGCCATCCATTTCAAGGCCAGTACTCAGTGTCAGACATGAAGTTAAGATTCTCACAGTGAGTACTTAGAGAAAATATGGGAAGATTCTTGTTTGAATTTAAGCCATGTGTTTCATTGCTAATTGGGAATTGTATTTCTCTACTTGATACACTTAGGCTTCAAATAGTAACCAAATATGTGCAGAACATTCTCTAGCTCAGCAGTGTGTATGTTTAAAAATGAAAACACTGCTGTTCCACAAAGAATGGTGTGAACTACTAACAGAATTTGCCATTCTCTTTTTGGTGAAATGCCTTTAACAAAGTGTGACTCTTGGAAGATGTAACCATACATCCTTATGTCTTGGCCACTTTTTGGTTCAACTGGATGTTCCTTTAGTATATTTTGAAAGTTCATATGCTTAAAAGATAAGTAAATTAATTTATTCATAACAAAAAATGAATAGTTGATCTCCTTTCCCCAATAGTTCTAATTTGGGATGGTTGCAGAGTAGTTAGTGTGTGTTTTGTGTATGTAAGATTTTTTAAAATTGTACTTAACACTTAACACTTCTTTTCATTACTCAGTTCTGTCCAGAACAGTGAACGTGGCAAAAAAATTGGAAACGTCATGGTCACAACCAGCCGGAATGTTGTACAAACAGGAAAAGCTGTGGGTAAGGCATGCTGTTAGCCAGGAACACATTAGAATTTTAACACACTTGTTTTCTATCTTCATTATATAATTGATAAAAACAAAGTTATACAGATCTGGGTACACATAAGAATACAGAAGTTCTTAAAAATTTTTGTCTTATTCATTAAAAAACTGATATCCTGTGGCACAAGATATCAAAGGTCAGCAAATTTCACCACACCTGATGGAGTGTGACAGAATTTTCTGATAGCATCTGTTCTGATTGAGGCTTTGGAGTTTTTCTACTCCATTCTTCTTACTGACCATGTTTTTTTTATAAATAGCAGAAACTTGTAATAAAGTAGGCATTAAGAGCTGCTGCCTTCCAATGTAGTATCATATAATGAAGAAAATGCATGAAACCAGCAGTTGATTTTTGAAAAGATCAGCATTATTTACAAAATCTTTACACATTGATAAAGAAAATATACAAATTATTTGTTGGGAATGAATGTGGAAATGTCACCATAGATCTCACAGACATTAAAAGGATAATAAGAGAATATTATAAACAGCTATACACCTACAAATTTAACAGCATAGGTAAAATATTACAGAAACTCAGAAATGGTATTATCTCTCCATTCTCTGCTAGTTTACAAGGTTTCTGTAGAGGATTCTGCTGTGTAACGAGAATTCTTTTAAAAGTGCTCTGGTACTTTTTTCTTGCAAACTCTAGAATACTCTTGTGCTTTTAAAAGTTTGTAATGTGTTGTGAGGTTCTTTTCTGATCATGTCTCTTTGGGGTCCTAGGAGCTTCCTGTATTTGGATGTCTGTATCTTGCTTCAAATTAGGGAAGTTTTCTGCTGTTGGTTCATTGAAAAGGTTTTCTAAGCCATTCTTTTCCCCTTCCTACAGGAATTCCCAAAACTAGTATCCCAGGGATCCTAAACTCTGTTTTCATTCTTTTTAGGTTGTTTTCTTTTTTGTTTTATGTGACTGAGATATTTCAAAATATCTGTCTTCAAGATCAGATTCTTTGTTTTGCTTGATCAAGTCTGCTATTAAGGCATTCCAATGTCTGACTGAGTTCTTCTGTTAGAGTCCGAAAACGCCCACCGCCTGAGGAGCGTCTCCAAGAGACTCTCTCATGCAAATTGCAAAGGTTTTTTTTATTTTTCCAGCATGCTGGGGCTCTCTGATCAGATCAGAACAGAGCAGCCCCAAGGAACTAAAGTATAGGGTTTATAAAGGCAAAAACCGCAAGATGGAGGGGGGGGGGGGATACATGGTTGCTATACACGGTTGCTAAGATCAAAAGAGAGTACATAGTTACTGGGGTCAACATAACCTAAGACCTAAGTGAAATTAATATCCATCATAATCTTGACAATACCAGTTACAATCGTACAATTATCATATATGATCTTGACATTAATCCAAATTATATGTAAGACATAGACAAATCACATTTTTATCATTAACCCAGGTGCAACCTTTCTACTTTTAAGCTTGAGCAATCATGCTAGGGGGTTTTTGTGCTCTGCCAACGGTGATGTAGTGCACTGCTATTGTCCAACTATTTGAGATCATAGTTTCAGACCAGAGTCTCACGGTGGGGGGGTGCTTTCCCAGAATGGAGTCTCAAGTGCTCCAAAATGGAGTCCCTCCTGTCAAGGTGCTACTTCACTCTGTCTTATTTTCACAGCTGCACCAGGAAGATTTAAACCTGTAAGCTTAAGCTTAACTTTTTACACCCGCACATATACAATTTTAACTCTTCATTTCTAACATTTCTGTCCAGTTCTTTTCCAGTATCTCTCTTTGCTAAATCCTTCATTCTTGTCCTCTGCTGATTTCATCATTCTACACAGCTGTGTGTCCATATGCTCTTGTATCTCTTGGAGTAGCCCTTTAATCATTCTAAGTCCTTCTCAGGCATTCCATCTGTCTTCCTTCAGGGCCTGTCACTGATGGTATTGTGTTCCCTTAGGGCCATCATCTTGCCTTGGTTGTTCGTATTTCTTTGTTTCTGCACATCTGGACAGTCGGTTGTTTCTATCACTTTTAGAAGATAGCTTTTAGAAGAAAAAGCTTGGAGGCTTTTTCCTTAAGATTGCCTTCTATGTCTTTAGTTCCAGTTGGACTCCATAGTAAATAGTCTCCTTTTACTTTTTTTTTATTTTTCTTTTGCGATAGTTGCTGGTAGTAGTAGTAGGGATGTGGAGTGTTCCTGTGGCTCAGTGCATTTGCTGGAATCCCTGTCGTGCAGGTCCCCAGGTACCTCCAGAGGGATGGACTAGAGTCAGGAGCTTCTCAGGTATTAATAGCCACTGCCCCATTACAAATCCCCACGAGAAGCACTAATGCTGGGTGGAGGAGGCGAGTCCCACAGATGTCGTTTTGAGAGAGTGGCTAGAAATTCCATGAGGTTGACTTTGGCTCTGGGACAGCCCACCAAGCAGCCCTAGGCCACTCTCCTTGATAAAATTTCAACCTTGAACATTGCAGTGGTACAAAGAGTTACGGTTATCTCTGATTCACCAGTTATTTACATTGTTCCCCATCTTCTTTATCACATCAGTATATAAAAATAGAACTTAGCTGCTGCAATAGGTTGACTAACCCATACTGAACACAATTCAGAAGCCTCAAATCCAGCTGATCTCTGTGTAGGTGTGCTTACGGCTTCAACGTTCTGTAGCTCTAGAGAGAGACTGAGATAACCCTAGACTCATTTATTTAAAAGACCAGCAGAACAATGAGCCCTACTGGGAGGTTTGCTTTATTGCAAGGTAATGGAATTTGATATATAAGCATTTATTTCCATGCAGTAGTATATATTTGACTTACTTTGAATTTGTTTTTATTACAAAAATTCTACTCCACTTAAATGTATACAATGTTGATTGTTAAAATAATGGGGGGATATGTTCCAAGATCCACAGTAGATGTCTGAAACCACAGATAGTCCCAAATCCTGTATACATAAAGCTTTTTCCTATACACATAATTGTGATAAAGTTTCACTTATAAATTGGGCATGGTAAAAACAACTATTAATAAAGTAGAGACCAATTATAATGAAATGCTATAATGAAAGTGTAAACATGGTCTCTCTCAAGATATTGCATTTTCACCTTTTCACTGAAAGGAGGCACTTTATGGCTTCTCTTTGACAAGTCTGAATTGCCAGTGTCACTACACTTGCACTTTAGGGCCATTGTTAGGTCAAAGAAGGGTTCCTTGAATGCCAGCACTGTGATCCAAGGCAGTCACTCTGCTGACCCAGAGGGCTGCTAACCTGAGGCAGTGTGGGTATGCCGGGACAGAGGGATGGTTCATGTCCTGAACAGGGTGGAAGAGGACGGTGTGAGATTTCAGAACAGTGCACCGTTTTATACTCGTGAATTCTTTGGTTTTGGAATTTTCCCTCACTGTTTTCAGAGCAAGGCTGACAGTGAAACCACAGTGAGGGAGGACTGCTGTACCCGCTTGTGAGTGATGTTGCTGCTGGGCATTAGACTCTCAGGCCCAAGCCCCTCCACACTCCCCTAAGAATAGTGATTTGTGCAAGTGAGCTCACTGTAGCACCAGCTTTTGAAGTAACGTTCTTTAATACAAAATAGACCTGACACAGGTAGAACTCTGTATGTTTTTCTTTAGTATAACATAGTTTTAGATGACAACGGTAAATTTCCCTAAAACAGCCTAACTACTCTACTCTAGATAGGATGTTCCCGATTGTCCACTTAGTAATTAAGGTACAGAGAGCAGGGTTCACTTTTTAAGCTTTCCAAGTAATACTAATGTATGGCCAGTATTGCTATCCCTGTGAGTACTAAACAGTTTGATAATTTCAGAATGCTTAGACTAGGCACCTACCCCAGGAAATTATTCAATTTCCTATAAGACATTCACATGAAAAGGAACCATTTTGAAATTAGAAATTTCAATTATATTAGTAACTATGAACATACTGGAGTATTCCAGTGAGTTAACATTTATTAAACAGCATTGGTCTTTGTCTCTTAACAAAGTGAAGACATTCTTCTTGTTTTCTCCGCCTCTTCACCCAGGCCAGTCGGTGGGAGGAGCTTTTTCCAGCGCGAAGACAGCTATGTCTTCGTGGCTTTCCACTTTCACCAGCTCCACCCCTCAGAGTCTCACTGAGCCGCCAGACGGGAAGCCCTGAGCGGGGCATCGGAGGCCTCCATTGCTGTCTTAGGTTTCAGTGTCCCCTGTGTGTCTGCTGCTGCCAGACTAGCCACTGGCCACGGTGCACAGCAGGGGGACGACGCATCGGACTGTGGACACAGACACTTGAGCCCTGTCTGAGTGATTGTCACAGGATGCTGGAGATGAAATCGCAGCCATCACAGGGACGGCGCTCCAGGTTGGGTTGAGATTGACTGCTTTTGTTTCATTCTGAGCCTGATTAAACGCACCGTGGACCTTCCCATCGATTTTCAGTTCTGACGTTATACATTTGTTTACTTTAGAAAAATTTTTACTTCTGTAAATTTTATCTTGTTTTGCTATTTGGATATCTACATGGTCAATGTAATTTATATTTGCTAAAATTAAGTTATATTATTATTTTAATTTCTCTCAAGTTGGCCCTAAAATGTGCTTATAAAGTGGCCACATAGTCCAGCCTTTGTTATTTCCCTGAATTATATGATGATTTTTTTGTTTTCTACCCACAAAACACTTATCATCTCACTCCTTCCCAAATGTGTGAAAGCCAGGGGCAGTAGCCTGCAGGAGGGGGTGGTGTTCCTTCCAAATCCTTAAGGACCTGTTCTGAGGCCTCAGGGAGCTCACTGCGCTTCCCTTCCCGTCCTAGCTGTGAAGAGGCTGTGCAGGCTGGCCTCGTGCTGGTCCCGTGGCTGGAAGCAGCTGATGGGAGCGAGTCTGTCCAGCAGTCCTTTCAGAGACCTGGCCGTGGCTTTTGTCAGCTCCAGTCGTGTTACAGTTTTTCACCAGCTTTTTTTAGCCCCATGTGTGTGCCTTCTAGTTTTTCTTTTGAGCAGGTTCCATAGGGTGTGTCAGAGGTATAGGTTTTTCTGTCATATTCTCAGTTTTAGTCTTCATAAAGCTTTTCAAGGCCTTTGGCCTTCCTACTTCCCAGACTGAAAATCCCCCTGTAGTCAGGTCCTTTACTCTTGTAAAGGAGAAGCAAGATTACTCATAAATATTAAAACAGAAACCTCATCTTAGCGTGCAGACAAAAACTGCAGCCAGGCCATCGGTCACCTGTTTCATAAAAGACATGATTTCACGTTAGCCGCACCTGTTGTAGAAGACATCTGGTTTCGCGTTAGCAACTGCATGTTTGTGCCATCCACTGCTGATCTGTACATAGCTGGACCTCACGTGTTTGCCATGCTCAGCTCCCATGTGCTTTCCGGGGGACGTGGGATGGGTGTTCTCAGGGAGTACTTAAGGTGAAAAGGCTGCCTTTTCTGTAACAAAGGACACTTGGGGGAAAAAATACCTTGTGAGCCTAATCGTGTAGTCTAAAGAATGTTGGTAAAATAAGGGGCCTGATGAAGAGAGACACTGTTTACACTTGACTGATCACTTAGGGAATGCTTATCTAAGAGGCTGATCCTCCTACGGCATGTGAAGTGAGCCGAGGGCATCAGCCAGATACCCCTCAGTTTCCCTGTTCGTGTTCTGACACAAGTCCAGTAAGCTGAAAGCTGACTTTCCTTTGAGCATAATAACATAAGAAGCTTCCAGTGATGATCAGTTGAAGGGTTTGATGTGAGGATTCCATTAATTCACTTCCACCAGGAAAGTGAACCTTGGGAAATCATACTTGAAGAAAAGGAAGTAATACCAAACACCCTTCAAAGGTACTTGAAGCAGTGTTGTGCCGAGACTACAAAGAATCCACTCTGACCTCTTGTTCTACGAGGGCACATCATCAGCCAGGGTAGTCCTGTCCATTTGCAGCACCAGAAGTTCACAAGGCCAGGAGCCAGGAGCCCTTAGGAGGGACAGACAGCTGATAAGATACTGGTTTTTCCTCAGTCTGTGTGGTGTGCATGGTTGGGGTGGCTCCCATCTCTCACTACTCAAAATCAGCTCAACCTATACTTTGGAATCCACTGAAATAAAAATAGCTACATGAAATTCACTTTTGCTTTAGTATTACTTGTCCCCTATTTAATATACATGTTATTTGAACTTGCTATTAATGTTTCTAGTTAAAATTTTACTCATAAAGTGGTCACTTAACTGGCCTTCAACCTAAAACAAATAATTTCAAGAAGTAGAACTGTTGTCATAGAAAGGATTGGAAGAGTGTAAGTGTTCTTCCTGTAAGTATATCTTCCTGGGATGTGGAACTTTCAGGCAGGCCAGGCCATTGCCTGGTAGACAGGGGTCCCAGGGAAGCCTGGCCCCTTGGCCCCTGAGCCTGCACACTTCCGGATCGCATTCCAGGCTCCCCGGCCGGCCAGCTCTGAAGCAGTAGCCTCCCAACCAACATATGTTGAGAGTGCCAGCATCAGGCCAGCTTCCAGCATGTCACTGAGAACAGTGGGAGTGGTGGAGTGTCCGTGCCACTCTGGCCGAGGCCGAGGCCTGAGGAAGCCACAGGGAACCAGCCTCCTCAGGTGTGCGGGCTCGCAGACTCTGGCTGTAGCCTGCTGGCAGCTTCCCTGCTTCCAGGTGACTCAAAAGGAGTTTTCAGAAGAAAACCTCTCATACGCTTGAATTCATCCCAAGCACGAAAATGACAGTGACGTAGGTAAGGAAGAGGAAGTTAAAGCTACTGGTCCTGGCCTCCATGGATAGAAAAGTTGCATGTCAGATAAAGGCCTAGAATTGTTTTGCATATATAAGCAATATGAATAGTCTATCCCCAAATCCCATTGTGATCGCCGGCCCTCAAGCCCCAGAACAATTCTCATCTACTTGGGCTTCAGGAAACAGCAGCAAACCAGAGCACATGACCAGGCTCCCTCAACCTTATCTGCTTTCCAAGTGCTGTAGTAAGCATTTAATGTTTCTGAGGAGAACTTCCTTTGGAAAGCCAAGAAGAAAGGACATTAGCACGGAAGAGAAGTGAAAAGTTGCAGCATAGCCGAGGAACGAGGCACTTAAAGTCTGACTGCAAGTATCCCAAGAGCAGTGTCTGATCTTCAGAGGCGTAAGAGTTCTTTTAGAAAGAAGTAAGAATTTCATCTGCTGGTTGGAGGTCTCAATGCAGCTAGAGCAGTGTCTGCAGGCGGGTTTTGTTCCCATCTTACGTTTTGTGCAGAAAGTCAGGTGGAAGCCGCAGCCAGCGGCCCTCTGCCCTGTGGCCTTGGGATGAGTCGGGTGTCCTTCAGCGCTGTTAGGGGCCAGTGTCCTGATCCTCAGCCCCGGGAGCGGGCCTGCGGCAGCCTACCAGAAAATCACTGCACCATGAGGCCTGGAACCGTACTGGGGAGCTGGCTGGGCATCAGATGGCCTGCTGTGACCCTCCCCGCAGCCCGGGAGCCTGCGGCCCTTGTTACTTGAAGTCTGTTGTCATTCCTCATAGCATAATGTGCCACTCAAGTCTTAGGACTTTGTAACTGGGGAATTCTTCCATTATTTCCAGCATTCCATAGATACTTGTCTAAGACAAAAGGAATGTGGATCCTTACTCAAAAATATTTTATACACATGCCTTCTAACTTTCCTTATGAAGGAGGATAAACTAGCTCCCTGTGTGGTAACTCCGAAAGTAAAAGATGGTGCATGTCTCTAAGGAGTAGGATATATTTTGTAAAATTCTAAATACATTTGTATTCCTGTGCTGTTGTAAAGTTTACCTTTTTACTTCCGCCAATTAAAGATATAGAAACTATATATTTAAATCATGTAAAATGGAACGCAATTTAGGGGTTTTTGTCCAGTCTTATTTTCCATCAGCTTACACACACATAGTATGCTGCTCAAGTTTTTTTCTGTGCAATATAAAACATTGGAACATTTCAGTCAGGTACTGAGCCAGAAAAGGTAATTGAAGTTTTGAGAAAGCTTCTTCCTTAGAAAATATTTTGTTATTTTTTTGAAATAATAATATTTTATAGCTGGAAAAGGTGAAGACTTAGGTGTTTCAGGGCATAGGTTCTTACATTCAGGAAGCATCTGATTGAGTTTGTGAAAACATTTAATGGTTACAAAAATAGTAGAACTACTTGAGATGAAAGGTTTTCCACAAACCCTGTCTCAGAAGGTTTAGCTTAGAAAACCCGGGAAGTTTTCTGAGCAGCTTAGCTGCAGCACGTGTTTTGATCAGAAAGGTAGCTCCTCTTTGCTGTGATAGTTCTATAGTTTGTACTAATTCTGGTTGGTTGCTGGTTTTTTTTTTAAAGTGTTAAAATTATAAATCAAGTCTAATCATACTGAATTGTAAAACTTCTATTGTATATTTCTTTAAAAATGAGAATAAAATTACCCTGTTTGACCTGCATACATCTGTGGCTGGCCTGTCTTGCGTAATCTGTGTGACTTGTGGTCCACTTAAAAGTTGGTGACAGTGCCAGTATCGTTTAAGAAACCAGCACACAGGAGCCGATGTTGTGGTACAGTGGGTTAAGCCCCTCTTGGGACGCCAGCATCCTGTACCAGAGCGCCGGTTCCAGTCTGGGCTGCTCTGCTTCTGGTCCAGCTCCCTGCCGATGTAATGCACCTGGGAAGGCAGCTGACGATGGCTCAAGTGCTTGGGCCTCTGCTATCCAGATGGAGCTCCTGGCTCCTGGTTTCAGCCTGGCACAGACCTAGCTGTTTGTACCCCTGGGGAGTTGAACCCGGGGGTGGAAGATATTCTGTGTGTGTGTGTGTATGTCACTCTGCCTTTCAAAATAAGTCCATCTTGAAAGAAAGATCACACAAATGAGCTGCAGCACCTCTTGCTCCCTTCGCCTCTGCTTTGGCACTCCTGGCGGTGCCTCAGCTTTCACAAGGGTGACTTCCGCAGGAAGAGCACCAGCAGTCCGTGAAGCGCTGAGGCACGGAGGACACACACAGGCTGGTCACACGATCGTGTCCCGTCACATCGCTGCAGGAACCCCGCAGGGGAATACGACACTGTCCAAGCACACCATCTTGCCAGCCAGACTGGTAAGCTTCAGTCCATGGCATTTCCACCGACGACAACTGGCACCTTCATGTACGTGGCCATAAATTGTGGTTCCCTGGAAACTGTCCTGACCCCTGGGGACGTGTGCTCCCTTGAGTGATGGGACAGGGGTACGTGTAAGTGGGGATGTTCCCTGGTGGGGGCTGTGAGAGCCTGGGCACTGACGAAATGGCATGAGGACTGTAAGGGGGCCACAGGCACCCTGCTTCCTGATGACCTGCTCAGGCTCTGCTAGGGGGACACAGTGGGTCCCTGTCACCCCCAGGTTGAGAGCTGCCTCTGCTCCATTCTGTAAAGATAGGGGTCACTGTTACTGAGTCTGGAACCATCTGGAAGGAGTGTGGTTATGGAGCCAGAGCTCCCCAGGGGAGCGCTGCTTTCCAGGTGTAAGTCCCAGGATTGCAGAAGCACACGGCACAGGACTGACCTGTCCAACTTCCTCATCAGAATCAGATCAAAATGGCTGTGTTCTTCGTTCTTGATCCCACAAACATCTGCCTTTGGAACCAGTATTGTCCTGACATCACAACAACTAGGGATCAGATATTTTCATGTTTTATCCTTTACTGGACTGGGCTGCTGTCCTTGCGCGTGTAGCTGTGGACCAGGACTGTGGGGAAATGGTGAAAATCATTTGGTAAATGAGAGGAAGAAAGGAACATAGACATACAAAGTGATGAGGGGCCAGCCTTGTGGCACTGCTTAAGACAGCCACGTAGGACTTCTGTGCCTGGGATCAAATCATGGCTACTCTGCACGTCAGTCCAGCTTCCTGCTAACGTGCTTAGAAGGCAGCGGACCATGGGCCATGAACTTGGGCTGCCGTCATCCACATGGGATACCCTGATGGAGTTTTTGACTCCTGACTTCTGCCTGTTTACATCTGTGGAAAGAACTAGTGGAGGGAAGACCTCGTCTCTCATTCTGCATTTTGAATAAAATGAAAAAATAAACCTGTAATCAGGGGGAAAAAGTTAACAGCATGACAAGAGTATGTCTTATCCAAAATAACTTTGAACGTAACTGAATGAAATCCCTCAAAAGATACTGGGCAGGCAGTCGGCACAGCAGTTAGGATGCCGCTTGAGACACCCCTGTCCCATATCGGGGTGCCTCCGCTGGGTCCCCACTCTGCTGCTAATCCAGCTTCCCGCTCGTGCACACCCTGGGAAGCAGCAGGTACTGGTTCAAGTGGTTGAGTTCCTGCCACCCATGCAGGAGAACCAGGGGGGTTCTGAGCTTCTGGCTTCAGCCTGGCCCAGCCCCAGCTGTTGTGAGCAGCTGGTGAATGAACCAGAAGATGGAAGATCAATCTCTGAATCTGTCTCTCTCCCTCTCATCACTCTGCCTTTCAAATAAGTAAATATTTTTTTAAAAAAACTAATAAAAAATTAGTCACTCCAAGAACAGTGGACGTTGCTGGGATTTCACCAGAGGCTGGCTTAGCAGGAAGAGGGACGGTGAGGTGCCTGGGCATTCAGGGAGGGCACCGGAGCTCCGGTTACTTCCTTTGTCCAAGCGGAGACCCGAGGGCACGGCGCCGCCACAGTGGCTGCTTAAACCTGGAGAAGGCTCATTTTTCCTTCGTGTTGCGTACAGGCGGGAAGGGAGGAGTTTGTTTTCAAAGCCCATCCGTCACTACCATGTGCGTTTTCCTGTACGTTTAGTTCGACCTATGGATTTCTCTTTTGTAGGGGGCGGGAGGGAGGTCTGGCAGAATTTAACAGAATTTGTACGTGGTCTGGGGAATGCTTGGGTCCAAAGTCAGAGTTTGAAAAGAAGCCATTGCACCTGCGTGCTACTGACTGCCTTGGGCAGCAGTCACCGCGCAGCACTTCCTTCTAAGGCGCTGTCACACCGTCAGGTCCACGGCCTGCGGCGGCTCTGGATAGGATCGGCCACCTGGAAACCAAAGCCGCCGTGCCTTCGCGCTGGGAATTCCCAGGTGAGGTTATAAACGGCTGAGGACAAATGAGTATGTTCTGTGTCACTCACTCTATCGTCATTAAAACTCCACGACCAGCAGGACTGGAGGTTTTAAATATATATTTATGGCCGGCGCCGCGGCTCACTAGGCTAATCCTCCGCCTTGCGGCGCCGGCACACCGGGTTCTAGTCCCGGTCGGGGTGCCGGATTCTGTCCCAGTTGCCCCTCTTCCAGGCCAGCTCTCTGCTGTGGCCAGGGAGTGCAGTGGAGGATGGCCCAAGTCCTTGGGCCCTGCACCCCATGGGAGACCAGGGTAAGCACCTGGCTCCTGCCATTGGATCAGCGCGGTGCGCTGGCTGCAGCGGCCATTGGAGGGTGAACCAACGGCAAAAGGAAGACCTTTCTCTCTGTCTGTCTCTCTCACTGTCCACTCCGCCTGTCAAAAAATTTTAAAAAAAAAAAATCATATATTTGACAACCCCTGAAGTGTGTTTTCCATTCATAGATCTCTCACTTTGATATTCAAAGCTTCATTTTGAGGGGATTCGTTCCACTCCTCTGACCATCTGTGCTTGATCCTGAGAATTTTCTTTTGGAGCCAGCTTTGTAGTAAAGCAAGTTAAGCTGCTACCTGCAGTGCCAGCTTCCTGTTTGGGTGCCAGTTCTATTCCCAGCTGCTCCACTTCCCATCCTACTCCCCGCGAATGTACCCGGAAAGGCAGTGCAAGAGGGCCTGAGTGCTTGAGTCCATGCCACCCATGTGGGGGACCCAGAATGGAATTCCAGCCTCCTGGCTTTGGCCTGGCCCAGTCTTGGCCATGTGGCTTTGTGGGAAGTGAACCAGAGGACAGAAGATGTCTCTCTCTAAGAGATCTTCCTTCTGGTTCACTCCTCAGCTGCCTGCAACTGCTAGAGCTGGGGCAAGCCAAAGCCAAGAACCAGGAGCTCAGTGTAGGCCTCCCATGTGGTGGCAGGGACCCAACTCTTCATGTCATCACTTGCCGCGTCCAGGGAGCACATTAGCAAGAGGCTGGGATTGGAAGAGGAGCCAGGATTGAAACTGGCCACTCCTGGATCGGATGTGGACATCCTGTGCCAGATGCCTGCCCCATCTTATTTCCTTTTTTTTTTTTTTTTATTTTTTTTTATTTTTTGACAGGCAGAGTGGACAGTGAGAGAGAGAGAGACAGAGAGAAAGGTCTTCCTTTGCCGTTGGTTCACCCTCCAATGGCCGCCGCGGCCGGCGCGCTGCGGCCGGCGCACTGCGCTGATCCGATGGCAGGAGCCAGGAGCCAGGTACTTTTCCTGGTCTCCCATGGGGTGCAGGGCCCAAGCACCTGGGCCATCCTCCACTGCACTCCCGGGCCACAGCAGAGGGCTGGCCTGGAAGAGGGGCAACCGGGACAGAATCCGGCGCCCCGACCGGGACTAGAACCCGGTGTGCCGGCGCCGCTAGGCGGAGGATTAGCCTAGTGAGCCGCGGCGCCGGCCCCATCTTATTTCCTTTTGAAAGTTGTCACGTGACCCCTGTGTTTCCAGTTTATAAGATAATTCATCGGGAATTCAAAACGGCTTTCCACATGGGCGGTGTTGCTTGCGAGAGCAAGGTCTCACCAGAAAGCCAGAAAATAGGCATCAAAGTGTGGTTTAAAAGGTGTTTGAGGGGCCGGCACTGTGGTGCAGTGGGCTAAGCCTCTGCCTGCAGTGCTGGCATCTCATGTGGGCGCCAGTTTGAGTCCTGGCTGCTCCACTTCCAATCCGGCTCTCTGCTTACAGCTTGGGAAAGCAATGGAAGATGGCCCAAGTGCTTGGGCCCTTGCACCTGCTCCTGGTTCCTGGCTTTGGACCAGTCCAGCTCTGACTGTTGGGGCCAGTTGGGGAGTGAACCAGCAGATGGAAGACTTTCATTCTCTAACTCCACCTCTCAATTCTTAAAAAACAACAACAACAAAAAATTGCTAGTTCCTGGCTTTGGACTGGTCCAACTCCGACTGTTGGGGCCATTTGGGGAGTGAACCAGCAGATGGAAGACTTTCACTCTCTCTCTAACTCCACCTCTCAAATAATTCTTTAAAAACAAGCAAAAAAAAATGCAGAAATGCTGCACACCACACAGAGAACAACGTGTGTGTGTATGGGCACTGGTTCAAGTCCCGGCTGCTCCACCTCTGATCCAGCTCTCTGCTGTGGCCTGGGAAAGCATTAGACGATGGCCCAAGTCCTTGGGCTCTGCACCCACGTGGGGGACCCAGAGGAAGCTCCTGGCTCCTGGCTTCCCATCGGCGCTGTTGGATTTGGAGCTGTTGCAGCCATTTAGGGAGTGAACCAGTAGATGGAAGATCTCTCTCCCTCTCTGCCTCTGCCTCTGTAACTCTGCCTTACAAATGAATAAATCTTTTATAAA